GTGAAATGAGTATGTTTATAACGTGTTACTGTTCTGATGAACTTTAGGGTGATCAAGATTCTCAAGGTCCAGTTGCCTATGATAATGGTGTCACTTATCTAATGATTGCTTGGAGACAGAACTGTAATGTTGTTCATATATTCTAATTCCTTTGATTTCTGAGTAGATTAACATCTCTACAGAAACAATTAACTTTTCTAGTGTAGAATATATATAATTAATTAATTATTGTTGTTTATGATAGGCTGCAAAAATTGTGCCAATGTTTGCTCAGACGTGTTCATGATAGGGGAGGATTTTGGTAGAGCTAGAGCATGTAATCAGCAAGGAAGCACCGACTTAGTTCAACAAGCTATTGATAGCTGGTAAATTTTTTTAAAAATGTTTACATCAAATTTGGATTTACTCCACCATTTGACATTATTCTATTAGGGTTATTTTATCTTTATGCATACATTATAGTAAAAATAAGTTTGAATCTTTGAAAGGCATTTGTGAAAATTATTTTTTTTCTTCAGCCCTATTGATTGCATCCATTGGACTTCTGCTGCACAAGTATCTTTGCTTGAAGATGAAATGTGGAGGGTAGAAAGAGTCGATGTAAGGAACACTCTAAAAGATTTATATTACATCCTCATTTTTTCAATCTTCGTCATCTGAGTTTGATATAAATTTGTAACTACAAATGTATCTATGACTATGAGTAATAATTTATTACTATATCTTAATTCTATTTTTTTCTTTTTAGTTATATAATAATGATATTGCTAACTCTGCCTTTGGTTATTTTGACCAGGTTGCTCTGATGCTTGTAGGGATGGGTTCATCTGCAGATGTTTTTAGATTGGCAAGACTTATTTCTTATAAATTGGTTATTCATGATTAGTTTTTTTTCTTCCATGAACCCTGTTCATCAATTGTCTAAAAAGACGTAAATACCCTCCTTATCTCCATGGTCAATGCTTTCATCTTTATGATGGTTCTGTTTGTTTTGACAGGCAAGCAGTGATGGGAAAAGAGAAAAAACAAAGTTCTGGTAATAAATATTATTTATTTATTAAACACTGAATTCCCATTTCTTGACATTTCATTCTCACTTTTATGTTCTGTTCCATTAATTTCTACTTTTATTAACATAATCAATCTAATAACCCCTGATCACATTTTAGGAGGACTGATTGAGGAGCTGGATGCAGCAAGGCAAAGACTTGTTAATGAAGTCAATAATCCTCCAAGAGGCAAAAGTTTAGTTGATGATGAACATTTTTCATGTGGTAATACTTTCTTTTCCATTTTTTCATTTTTTCATTTGTTCTTGGAGTAAAAACACAATTTTTTGTTGTGTGAACATATGGGTGTTTCTCATTTCCGGTTTACTCATTGATCAAGAGTAAAACCACTAAAGATTAGAGCAGAAAGCAGAGGCACCAAAGATGGATATATATATATATATATATATATATATATATATATATATATATATATATAATGAAAGTGATTTTTGTTAAATTCAAGTCTTCTTTGTATATGATTACCGTTAATTTCTATGTTGTGTTTAATTTCAGAACAAGAACAGGAGTTACACCCTCTTTAGCAACTAGAGCTACTCATGCTGTATGGCCAACTGACACTGTCCATTCTTCAGCACTTTCAGCTAACACATGTAAATGACCAAGGTATGTGAATGTGTATTAACAACTTTCTACCATCTTTTATTTACTTTCCAGTGTTTTTTACTTAACCATACATTCATTAATGTAAATGACCAAGGTACTACACCTTCTGTTAATGGAAGAGTGGCATCAAAATCTTCAGTTCCTGTTCACAGGACACGTTTCAGTATCCTCTAATAATCAAAATGCAACTCCAATGCAGGTAGATGATCAAGGTATGCATTAAAGGAGATTTGCTCCTGTTTACGTCTACTACCAAGCTCTTGTTTTTGTTCTTTTTGCCATTAAGTGTTGTATGTATAGATATATAACAATAATATAACTTGGTGATGCTGGTAGCAAGTAGACCTTCTGTTAATAGAAATATGTCGTCAAGTTCTTCAGTTCCAGTTTCTGTTCATAGGGAATTTGTTTTTGGAGCCTCAAAGAATCATACCTCTCAAAATGATGCAACTCCAATACAGGTAGACAACCAAGGTATGCAAGTTCTTTTGTTCCTTTTAATTAAAAATAGAAAATCTTGTCCATGTTCTTTTTTTAAACTTTACATGTAATTTCTCAGCTGCACATTGGTAGCTATTTTAGCTTAATTCAGTGCTTAAGCAATCCGTTCAACACTCAATGAGATGGCATCTTCCAGTAGCAACAGTAACTTTGCATTCTGGATGCCATGGATCAAGATCAAGGTTCCTTCTTCCTAATTCCTTCGTCCTTTTCATTTTTTTTTTCAAAAAAAAAAGATTAAAATTGAATTCATGATGATGTTTCAGATAATGAAAGTGGGAAGAGTGCAAGAAGCTTTAGGGAGCAATCCATTGTTGATGGTGTTTTTTTAAACCATGTAGAATGTAGTGTTATGTACACAAATGATAAGGCATGTGATGATTATGAAATTTTCCTCTAAGTTAATAATTTTGTTCTTCATATGAATTATATTTGCAATAATGTAGTGTTTTGAGATTGTATGGAATTTTAATGTGTTGCAATTAAATTTACTAGTATTAGCTATTTTGTAAATTTACTGCTTTAGCAATTTTTTGCTGTGAAAACTGGGAAATTATTGAGAAAAAAAGAGCAGTTGTATGGGCATACCTATAGAGACGACATGTTGTTTCTATAGGTGGATCTATAGAGAGGACATGTCGTCTCTACAGATGCATCTACCACGACGACATGCTGTTGGTAAAGGTAAGACGAGTCGACTCTACATCTCTATCTATGGAGACGACATGGTGTCTTTATAGATACACCTATAGAGACGACATGTCGTCTCTATAGCTTCATCTATGGAGACCGGCACCGTATAGCGAGGAACCAGAAGAGGACGACATGTTGTCTCTAAAGGATACCTATTGCGACGATATTTATAGTGACGACCAAAAAGATCTATTGCGACGGGGCTATGGTGACGAGAGCTATAGGGACGACATGTCGTTCCGGACACCTATAGGGACGACTTTTTTAACCTATAGAGACGACATTTGTCGTCCCTATAGGTCCAGTTTCTTGTAGTGATATACACCTCTAATTATAGAGGAATCCTGCAAATCATATAGCAGCAATATATATTCAAGTAAGGGCAGAATTGTCATTTTCATAAACTTAACAGATAAGCAGAGGGACAAA